ATCAGCCAAGTTCCAGCGCCCGGGAATATTCCTGGCGCTGATCATCTTCCGAGTACAGATGGAGCTGTAAGATCCACGTTTTAAACCGAGGACTCTAACTGCTCACTCAATCCCATAACAGCTCTGATTTGGCAAGGAGCAAAAGGGACAACCTACATTTCTTTGGAAGGGGGGAGCTTTCTGTGCCCTGGGTTTTGTGGTGGGTGCCAAGTGCTCTGCACACCTCAGTAGGCACCAAGTCCTGTGCCAGGCCAGCAGGTCCAAGCAGTCTCAAGCACGGAGCCAGGGCAGGATGGGAGAGATGAGGAATTCCTGGCCAAAACACCAGCAGCAGCCGCAGCATCAAAGCAGCTGGAAAGCCACAGACACTGGGAAACATTCCCCTTTCAAACAGAGAAACTGGTAGGCAAAGCCTCCGAAGCTGTGAGGCAGTGCTGGCTCTTGAATTCTTGTCATCACTTGATCTCAGCTCTCCCTTGAGTACCTGACTCCAATGGCATCAACTTGTCCCTCTGTGGCAGAGCTAATGGACTACAGAGGCTTTATCTAGAGGCTAATGGCTCTCACACAGCCAATACAAGAGAATCACGCTGAGCAGCAGTGGGGATTTATCAAGCGATGTTCCTGAGTAATTGCACTGTGTATTTCAAGCCATCTCTCTGCTAAGTGAACCCTTCTGTGCACTGCCTCTGGTTCCTTAATAAAAAATGGGCTCACAGGGCTGCTGCTTTAACCAGCACTGAATTAAAACTCAATGTAAGGATCAGCTGGACAAACCTGACACATTTGCTAGAGGGGATGACTTGGGGGGGAGATGGAAGTGGCTTTGTGCCCACTGATGGGAGGGCAGGAGGGAGACACAGGAGATTTCCAGTCTTGCCTGATGAGTGCCCCTTCAGTGCAGGGACACCTTGCCAGAGCTCAGGAATCCTGTGCTTTCTTCTTAGGTCTGTCATGCACCTTTAGGAAAAGCGGTCTGTTACCTCCTTTCCAGCCCCCAAAGTGCCTGCCTCATCTTGGAGACCAGCTTTGGGACCTGCATCACTTGGGGTGCAGGTAACCATAGGCAGGCTGCAAACTGGGATCACAGCATCCCTCTGTGGGCTTGGCTGGGATGAGGGCTTGTTCATGGCTGCCCTCCTGTACATACACACTTGGAGACACGGATGTGTCCTTCCCATTAGCTAGCTACTGGGAAGCTAATGGCACACACCACACCACGCCACAGGCAGTGGCAGAGCATCCCAGACCCACAATGAGGGGAGTCCAGCCCCTCATCCCCATCAGCACCCAGTGTTGGACCAGTGGAGATCCACTCCATCCACCCCCTGTGCTTTCCAGAGGAACATGTGTCTGGAACAACCTGGTTCCCTCCACCTACCCATTGAACAAGCCCAGAGCTGCCAGACGAGAGACAGGAAACTGCTGCTTATCTGGTTTCATTTTATTTCACTTCTTCTTGATTTTTTGGGCTCTCAGAAGTGTGTTGAGGCTGGATTGAGGTTACAACCTGAGTAAAGCCTCCCTGCCTAAAAAAACAGGCTGTTGCCATAACAACCTGACTCCGTGCTTCATTACCATGGCAATTCTCAGGAATTATTAAATACTCTGTGTGTTTGGTGCAGGTGCTCCAGTACATCTGGTGCCAGGCTCAGGTTGGGATCCTCCCTCTCCCCTAATCTGTCTGTGTGTCTTGGCTTGTTTAACTCTTTCATTGTCTGCCCTTAGGAATAAGAAATCCCAGATGGAACAAAATCAGTGCAAGTGGGGACCAGCCCAGTGATGGGGAAGGAGGGTTGGGAAAGTCCAGTGCTGGGTGCTCTTGGTTGGGGTCAAGAAGCAGCTCCCTATTAGTAGCATAACTTGACTGACCACACACTGCCTAAAATCATGATTGCTTTCAGAGGAGGGATGCAGATTAGATGGACCAGTGTGGCCGTTCGCACAGGATTGCATTGGTATCTTCTATTCCACTGGTAGGTGATGATCCACCTAAGCTTATCCCTTCTCTCCCTATCTCCTCTGCACTTTAGAGCCAGCAGTGTCTAGAGGCAGAACCTATAGACCTTTGGACCTATAGATCTATGTAGAGCCTATAGACCTTTGAAGGTCCTTTCCAACCTAAACCATTCTAGGATTCAGTGTCTCTCAGTCATACGTGTGCAGCTCCTGGCACCCCAGTGACGTTCTGGAACTAAACCTGCTACAAGCAACAATTCAAAGAACCTGAATCGAAATAACATGAAACCAGCCTTGTCCAAAAAAAAAACCTGCTTAAATCTTTTTGGGAGCCAGAACCCACTTGGAGCTTCAGCTAAATGAGGAGGTGTGAGCTGAAAACACACAGCTATTTGTGGGGAAAGGCAGCAGAAAGAGCCATTATGGTCTGCTTTCCTTACGCAAGCCCTAGAGGACACCTCCTCCTCTGGGGCAGGGCAGCTGGGTTTGCAGGGTCAGAGATGTGGGCAGCATCATGGTGCCCTCAGCACCTTCCACTAGGAATGACCTGCATTGGTCATTGCTCTCAATGGGGTAATTGGCCTTTTGTTGGGAATCTGAGAGGATGGGGACTTGTGTGCAAGTGTCTTAAACCCACTGAGAGCAAGATAGAAGCTCAGTAACCCCATGGGGATACATAGCATGTAGTATGGTAAATATGGATGGTGCCCACCAACTGCTTCACTCTGCAGACCCTTTTCTGTTGGTCCACACAACCCAGTGATGTAGACATAGCCCTTATGATCATGGAAGAGACAGCCCCAGTAGAGAATGAATAAGCCAATGCAAAGTTGGGCTTTTGCCCCAAGAGGCCATGGGGAAAGTCGTTCCTCTCCTAATTTACTCCTGAGCAAGCTCCATCCATCCCAGCAGGCGCTCAGGCCATTACGTTGCTCCTCCATCTCGTGTCAAAGTGACCTACCATGGATGACTTTTCTCCTTTGCTCTGGAAGACTCCACAGCACAAAAGGGACAAAAACCCCCCAAGTCCCACTCCTAGATGTGGTCTGTAAGGACACTTGGTGTCTTGGTGGCTATGTGGGATTGCAGAGCCATGTTTCCCCATGGGGAAAACCCCTGGCAAAGCACAGGTAGCTGGGGACAGCTGGGATAATTTGACCAGCTTCTTCACTGCTGCAGGTCAGACTTAATGTGGTTTTGATACTTTCTTTGCATTAGCAATGTTTCCTGTGCCTTGCTTGTATTGCTGTCAGTGGAAGGTTTCTTCCATTATCTCAGTTCTCTCTTGTGATGGGACCATGTCTGGTGGGTGGATTGCAAGAAGGACCAAATGCTTAAAGCAGAAGACATCTGGGCTGTCCTCTGGCAGCACAGCAACCTGAAGATGTAGTCACATCTACATTCAAATGCACTCTGAAGTGTTTGCAAAGCTGGGTGTCTCATCGCACGCACTGGGATGCTCTGCATCTCACCCTGATGGTGTGACCAGGCTGTGCTCCTGCAGTGGGACCAGTTTGTGCTCATATGCAAAGAGATCAATGGTCCTAACACCCCGTTGGACAGCAGGGACCAAAATCCCCTTCTATGCTGCTGTGTGAACCGCTATTACGTGTGTTGGTTGGGCAGCAAACCCTCCTTGCTGAGAAGTCTGCTCAGGTATGCAGACCTCATAGAAATCAGAGCCCTGCTGTTTCACTGGCACCAATGGGACATTTAAAAGCTTTGAAACCCAAATACTGGTCCTGCTGCCACATTGTCCCATTGTCCTTGCGCTTTCAAGGCGTTACAGACAACAGGTTAGTGGGAGCAACCAGTGGCAGCACTGCACTAGTGCTGCTCTGCACTGGGTTACCAGCACCCTGCGGGAACCTTTGAGAAGGTGCTCAGCAAATATTGATCAATTGCAAAGCATCCTTTACTCTTGTTCATGCTGGGAGAGGAGAGAGCTGCTCTTTACATCCCAAGGGATCAGCTCATCAGCTCCTCCAGCATCCAGGATTACTTTCCCACTACAGAAGTGGACCCAGCAGGAATGTTGTTGGCGCAACAAAACTCCAATGATTTCCATCTCACACCCACAGCCAGAGCCGCAAATCCATCACGGGACAAAGGTCAGGAGCCCTCCTCCTCTCTCATCATTCAGTTTTGGCAGCTCATCAGGATCAGAAGAGCTGAAGGTTTGCACTTGGAGGCTGCAGTTCGCTTTGCAAGAGGCGCTCAATGCATCTTTATGAAGCTCTGCTTCAGTGCAGGGATTTAACACAAGCCTGAAACACCCAGTTCCTGACAAATTGATTTGCAAGTGGTAACTGATACTTGCCTGTGAGAAATGTGGTTTCTGCTTTAAAGCAACACCTCTGATCAGAGCTCAATTGGAAGGTGAGGTGATGCTACCTGCAACCAGGAGTAAAACACCTGAACTCTGCACACACACAAACCAACTGAAGACGACACAAAATTCATTTCAAACAGGTTTTTTGATTCCTGAATGTTCACCAGCTTCCAAAAAGACTACAAAAAACCTCAAGGACGGTAACAATAGAACACTTGAGAAAAGGCTGTTGTGTACAAAACCAAGCATGCTTTTGTTTTGGGGTTGGAGTGGGTTCTTTTCTTCCTTCGGCATAGTGCGAAAGAAGAAAGGACCACTTCATTTAACAGGATAGCTCAGGAAAAAAAGGAAGAACATGCTTTCCCCATGACAAAACTCTACCAGAAGATGCATGCTTGAGGTCCCACATAGAAACAGACCGACACATTTTGGAGCGTGCAGACTTTGTTGTCCAACCCACACAGCACTTCCCTTCCCCTGCCCCATGGTCCAAGCTGCGGTCCATGCCATGCACGTTGCTTTCCTTTCGCTTTGTTCTTTTTGGTTTCTTTTTGTAGGAATTTCCCTTTTTTTTTTTTTTTTGCCTTTTTTTTGTTGTTTTTTTTCTTAGCCCTAAATCCCAGGTAGCAGTATCCAAGGTAACAGCAGAAAAGAGTCCAGATCTGCATGTTATCACTGTTTCTGCAAGTTTCATGCAAAACTTAAGCCATTTCTGCATGCAACACAATGCTGCTCAGTTATTGTGCTTCAGACAGCTCTGGGGTGATCTCCCCAGTCACCAGGACAGTTTGTTGACTGGGAAGCACAGATTGACTTGCCCATAGACACAGACATATTAAAAGACCCCTGTCTCCCCCTTTTTCGCTCCCCCCAAACACATGGGAATGTGCATCTCGGCACCAGGTCCATAGAGTTCACTTGCCTACAAAAGCCCGGTGGCTTTAGTAAAGTCCCATGATTGCAGCTCCCACATCCTTGGAAGGTCTCCGGTCCTTCACCAGGAAGTTAATCATGCTCTCGGACTTGATGAGCAAGTTGCAGCCCAAAAAGAAGATGCCGAACATGACAGTCAAGGAGAGGACGCAGAGGACCGCGATCTGCACCACCCGCGTGATGTAAAGGCTCCTCTCATCAGGTGCCAGCACCGAAGAGCCACCGCCGGTCGCCAGCACCGAGCTGGTCCCATTGCAGCAGGCCATGAGCATCCCCAAGCCCTGGGTCCTGTTGGGGTAAGCTCCCTGCTCTAGGAGAGTCTGGTTGAAAAAGGATCCATTCATGGTCTCTGCGTGATCCCAAATCTCCAGGGAAGGCAAGAGGAGAAGCCTGCTGTCCCCCTGCCTGCCCTCACACGCCAGGGCTCCGAGCCACCTCCTGTCTTTCTCCTCACAACACCCCGGATGGATGGGATGCTTCCTCGAGGCTGTGAGCAGGTGGGAAGCCAATTCCTGCAGGCGAGGGTCAGCTCGCTCCCGGATCCCTCCTGGCACAGGCAGCGTTAGCACAAGCCCCCAGACAAGCAGAGAGACAGAGAGAGAAAAGGCAAAGGGGGCAGAGGGGAGAGGGAGGCAGCCGGGGGTTGCTCCATGCCTCCTGCCCTCGCGCTGCCCCCAGGCACAGGGCACCCCCTTTGCGCCGGGGGCTTTCCCGCAGCAGGTAGAGCTGATTCCTGCCGCCTGGAAGCTCCACAAATGCAAGTTCCAAGCTAAAGTCTTCCCCGTGTTCAAAGGAAAATCCAGCAACTCCACCCCCTTCCAGCCTCCCCCCAGGACCGCCTTCCTCCCTCTGCACGCTCACCCAGGCTGCCCACCCCTTCCCCACCCTGTGCACCCCCTCTCTGCCCTGCCCTGGGGGCCAGCACCCACCCCTTGTGCCACCCCAAGGTGGGGAATGACCCCTAAGGACCTGTGGAGCAGCACCCAACTCGTCGTCCTTCCCACCCCCCTGACCTGCTCCCGAGAGCATCCCGCATGGTCGTGGTCCTCCTGGATGCTGGCAGGTCCCCTGTCCCCCTCTGTAAAGGCTCGCATGAGCCTCAGGTCAGCGCTGCTCTCCCAGTCCCTGCCTGCTGCTCTATGCCACCCACTCATGCTTAGAGCAGCGCTGGCCCAATCCAGCCACGTCCACCCCCAGCTCTGCTCAGTGATGCCTGTCCTGTGCCTCCAGATGAGGGCTGGATCCATCCCCCTCTCTGCATCTCTGTCTTCCTCTGGTTGGGGGTTTCCTCCCCGAGCATCTTTGCCCGCCCCCCCCCCCCTTTTAGCCCCTTCAAAGGGGAGCACTGCAGTGCTACACCCTGATCCCTGCACCCCTTCCCTGCCTTGTTCCCAGCTCTGGGTCCTACAGCAGCACCACTGCTGCACCCAGGGCCAGAGCATCACAGACCCCCTCACTCAGGCCCCTCAGCCCCACTGAAAATGCCAGGGGAGGGTCAATCACTGCTCTGCTCTCCGTGTCTGCATAAGCTCCCCAAGGGACACCCCAGCTCAGGGTGTCCAACTGTGTCTGGCTCAGTCCTCACGCTGCCTGTCCCATGGCACTGCTGTGTCACCGCTTATAGGTGACACAATGGGCTTTGCCTGTTGCTATCTGCCTGGAAAACGTGCCTGGGTGGCACAGAAGAGCAGGTCACCCCCGAGCCATGATGTGAGGACTCGATTTACCTGTGCACATCCTGGCTTTCTTGGCCCAGCCCTGCAGGGGATTTTAATGGCTCTAAATGAGGATTGATGAACTGCAGCCAAGGCAGGAGTGTGAGGCTGGCTGAGAATGGAGGGGAGCTTTGCAGAGAGAGTATTGACTGATCTTCCTTTCAGCCAGCTTGGACCTGTGCCCTGTTGTGCTGCTGTGACTTTAGGGCCTCAAAACCTGTTTGGTTTGGGGTTTACTTGTTGCTTTTTGCACCTGGAGTTCCTTTCTCTGCAGGGCTGCCTGCTCTTTCAGGGCAGTTTGCAGCAGAACCGCGTGCAGGAGGGAGGTGGAAAGCGCTGATGCAGCAAGAGCATCTGCTCGGGTTTGACCTGAGGGCCAGGAAAAGTCCCACCGGGAAACCAGAGCATCCCTGGCCGGGTGGGAGCTCCTCTCCTCTCGCTCGCAGGCTGAAGGAGTTTCTGCTCCCTCTGGTGGTTCCAGCTCCAGCCTCTTCCCACTCGCCAGAGCGTGGATCCGGCTGCTGCACTCATCCATCACTCCTGGGCCAGAGCATGCGGTGATGCTGTGCATGCCTTTGCAGCATTGCTAATGTGGGCAAGCAGCTACAGGGCAGGATGAGCCCCTTAGAGAAGAGGACCAGTGAGATGGATGGCAGGGAGTATCCATGGGGGGTGCTGAGCCAAGCAGGGCTCCCACGTTTCTCTTTAGAATCTTGAACAAATTCATCAACCCATCCCATGAAGCCTAAGAAAAACAGGAACTGGGATGCACTAAAAGTGCCCAATGGGATCTGCAGTGGGAGATGGCTCCAGGGTCTCAGAGGAGGCCACAGAGCTGCTGCAAGGACTGGAACAGTTCTGCTCTGGAGCCAGGCTGAGAGAGCTGGGCTGGGGCAGCCTGGAGAGGAGAAGGCTCCTGAAGGGGAGACCTGAGAGCAGCTCCAGTGCCTGAAGGGGCTGCAGGAAACCTGGAGAGGGGCTTGGGACAAGGGATGTAGGGACAGGCCAAGGGGAATGGCTTGAGCCTGCCAGAGGGGAGACTGAGATGAGCTCTTAGGCAGAAGCTCTTCCCTGTGAGGGTGCTGAGGCGCTGGCACAGGGTGCCCAGAGAAGCTGTGGCTGCCCCATCCCTGGCAGTGTTCAAGGCCAGGTTGGACACAGGGGCTTGGAGCAAGCTGCTCTAGTGGAAGGTGTCCCTGCCCGTGGCTGGGGTTGGAGCTGGATGAGCTTTAAGGTCCCTTACAGCACAAACTACTCTGGGATTCTATGAGCAGGGCACGACCAGGAGCCCCTCAGAAAGGTCTGGGGTTTGTATTGATGTCCCAGCCAAGGCGCAGCACTTTCGGACGCTGCAGGAGGGTCGATGGGCTTCTTGCGCTCTTTACCAAATCCCCATCGACAAGCCTTGGGGATGCGGTTGGATCAGGTGGGAAGGATCCCCCCGCAGCCGCGGGAGGGCAGCAGCTCCCACAGGTAGAATGGGGCTGAGGGGAGAAAAGAGGCACCAAAAAAACTTCTTTTAAAGCTAAATCCCCAGCTCCTGAGGCTGAGTCCCCCGCTCCGCCTCACCCTCCCAGGCACCATCCCCTCTCGTAGGGGGGAAACGTGGGGCTGTGGTTCTCATACAGCACCTTCACATCACGTCCAGCACCATCAGGCACACACACCAGCTCAGTTCCTGATGCCTGATGCTCCTGTGCGTTGCACCGTCTTGCCCCAGAGTTGGGTCATTACTGTCCCCAACCCGATGCATGGTGGGAGCATCCTTGGGCTCCAGGGAAGCAGCCCTTCTCTCCTAGTTGCATCCCAGCCGTACCTTGAGTGCCTCAGTTTCCCCACCTGCGAGTTAAACAAGAGCTCGTCACACACACATAACCCCCACACCCCCCCCAGGAGGCACCCACAAACAGCTCTGCTGTTTCAGGGGGGACAATTCCTCTCCTTTCTCAGTACAGGAGAAAGTTTTGAGGGCACAGAGGGGGAAAACAAGTGAGAAGAAAACGAGGTCCGAACCATCGGACCTTAAGCTGAACTTCCCTGCCTTGGTGACAGCCAGGTTTACACCCTGCTGCTTTCACCAGGCTCGGATCTCACTCAGGTCCCTGTTTGAGCAGAAACAGTCCCATTTGCACCGTTCGGGAGCTGAGAACCCACACCTTTACCTCCCGTTCAACCCTGGGACTCGGCGGCTGCCTTTCCCGCAAGAGTTAACGAAAGGAAGGAGGGAGCAAGGTTTTGCAAGGAGTTAAACCCAGGCAAAAGAGCCTATGGGAAAGAGCCTGCTCCCAGCCCCAGGGCTGGAGGTCACCGGCGCTGGGAGCGCTCACTGCCAGCGTTTAGTAGGTCCTTGACGGAGCAAAGCGAAGCGAAGCATGAGGAGGTGCCGGCAGCGCGGGCGGGGGCACAGACCGGCTCCCCAGTGAGTGACGAGCCAGCGCCGCTTCCTCCGGCCGGCCGGCCCCGCTCGCCGTGTGTCACACACCCAGCCCCATGATTCATCTCCTGGGCTGCTCCAAGCCTCCCGAGCTGCTCCCCATCGCCCACGGGGGGGCCGGTCCAAGCAGCCCCCCGCGCTCGGGGCTTGCAGGACGCGATGGGAAGGCTCAGCGTGGCTCTCGGGATCCTCGCGCTCTGCGCTGCTGGCGCCTGGGGTAGGTTTGGGATCGCTGCCGCTCGCTTCGAGCCGGGTCATCCAGGGATTGTGCGGCCCAAATTCCCCCCAGCCCCAGCACTTTCTCCCGAGGAAAGCGGTCCGAGGGGGAGCGGGCAGCCTGGAGCTGCTCTGACCGGTTGGGTCTTGAATGGGTCGGCTCCAGGCGGGTTTCCCAAAGGTGGTGCAGGATCGGGACGTGGTTTGGTACCGTGTTCTGTAACTCCGCTGTGTTTGGCTCCGGGTAAGGGTTTGTAATGGGAGGACCAGGGTGTGACTTGGGCTCTGTCCCTCCTAAATGCACAACAAAAGAGTTTGCAGGGCAGGCTGGACGCTGTGGTTGTGTTGGTTTAAAGGGGGTGCCTGTATGTCTTGAGTTCTCTTTTCTCTGTTCTGGTGGTTTTAGGGGTTTAGGGTGAGGTGATTTCAGACAAAGGTAATTTGTAGTTTTAACAATATTTCCAGTGTCTGGAGCATGGAGAAGAGACAGGAAAAGCATTTTCTCTTCTCCCCAGCTGTGTTCCCGGGGCTCAAAGTAAATCCTGCAACTGTAAAATGGGGTTTTCAGCTCCTGGTTTATAAATGGGTCCCATTGTTTTTGAGGCCAGGCTCTTTGGGCAACGTTGTTCTGTCTAAAGAATTCCAGACTTTGGTGAATTCCCAGGAACAGCCTGAGGCTCTGATCTACCTGATCCCTGTCGTCAATACAGGACATAGGATAACAACCCATTGAGACTATAGAGCTGCAGTTTGGTCCTGTGTATCGGTGCCTGTAAGAAGCTGAGCTCAGTCTGGGCTATTCCCTCCCTGGGATGACGCTTGCAGACAAGGAGAGGGTCGGAGAAAAGCCAGAGCCCCAGGATGGCGTTGGCAGAGCAGCCACAAAGACCTAAGCCCTGATCGCTGCATCAAGCAGAAGGATGTCCAGATGGGTTGTGTCCTTATCGAGTTCTCTAAAATATCGGGTTTTCTGTGGGCACTTTCTTGCCCCAGTTGGCAGAGGGAGGAAAAACAAAGCATGTGGCTGGCTCATGCGGTGCATAGAGGTTACTTGGAGTGCAGCTTGGGGGCTGAGTAAGCTCCTCCAGCCGGGGAAGGGTGATGCTGAGCCACAGACGTCTGGGGTATTTCGAGTGCATCATCCCACATCACTGCCTAGCCATTCTCATGCTGCCCAGTTCATCTCCCATTTCCCTGTATTTTATGTGTTAGGATTTCTTTCTGTTTTCAAAGCCTGAGTCTTTAGGATCAGATCGTTGTGAGAGACCAACTGCTTTCATAGTACTTGGGCTCAGGACGTTTTATGGCTGGAAAAACATCCCCAAAAGCTGTGCTGGGTCTTGCATCCAGGCGGTGTCCTGAGCCTGGGAAGCGCTGCTTGGGAAGCTCTAGGACCAAACGTGGAGTGGGCTCAAGATGCAGCATCCTCCTTCTCCCTCCTTCGCCTGTGCTGTTGCTCCTGCACCATCCCAGGTCCCCATTCCCCACTTCCCTAAAACAGGCAGAGCTGGAAAGACCAAAGCAGAGACATTTCCACACAGTGAGAGGCTGAGGCTGCCTGCTCGCAGCAGGAACAGCCACATCTGGATGGTGAGAACCGTGCTAACACCACTGGCACTGGGGCATTTCAGCCCCCTCCCAGAGGCCAGGTTCCCAGGTTGGGGAAGGGTCCTCCGTCCCTGGGCACATGTCTCAGTCATGGGCAATGGATCCCATGGGGACCAGAGGGCTGCATGAGTCTGGGGGCAGGAGTGACTTGCAGGGACCCCCTGGTCAAAGCAGCAATGACATGGTGACATGATGTGGTTGCAGCCTTGGGCACGGCAGCATCCTTCCTGCAGGACCCTCTGGCCTGCAGCCCCATCTAACCCCTGGGGTTACATCCTCAGCATGGAAGGGGAGCACCAGATCAAGGACCCCTGTGCTGTGGGGTGGGAAGGAAAGCACTGAGCCCAGAGGCTGCACACAGGCAGGAGGTAATGCATACCAACTGCTGGGGAGCAGAGCAGCTCTCCAGCCCAAAGGGACAGACCTGGGGCTCATTATCCCCAGAGCTCAGGTTTCACAGCAGGAGAAGTGGAGGCAGACCCAAGCTTGGAGATCCTCCACATCATGTTTCAGTGCAGCCCGGGCTCACTGACACCAGGGTTAACGCTGCACAGGGGAAACTGAGGCGCTTGGCTCAAGTCACAGGGGAAACCTGCTCGAGAGAGGACGTGGACCAGTGCATCCCATCCTAGGCCAAGCTCAAACCCACCCCTGGGGAGCAAACCCCACAGTGGCATTAAGTAAGAGGAGGTCAGGAGCACTGCTGGTGATTAATCCTCTGGGCCTGTCCCTGAGGGCAGTGCCAGGGCATAGCCCAAATCCAAGGCACATGGGCTTGGGCTGCAGCCACCAGCGCTTGGCAAGGCAGGAGAGATTCCACACACAGCAGGAGCTGGCGATGCTGAGAGCCCTTTGCCTTCCCCATACCAAGCCCCAGCTCCACATCCTGTCTGCTCAAGGGTGTGATGCTGCTGCTGTATCCCTGCATGTCTTTGGTGCACCAGAGATCAACAAGTTGCTCCTTTAGGCAATACTAAACGTATAATCCTGCCCATCCTCATATGCTGCAGTGTCCCTATGGATGCCACCCTGAAGCTGGTGCTGAGCAGGGCAATTGGGGTTTAGCCTTTAAGTGTAGTCACCCTGTGTGGGACAAGCAGGGAGGTGGCATGGCCATGGGGTACATCCCCAAGCAGCGGCAGCGTGTCCAGCTCAGCCTGTGACACCACCTCATGCAGATGCACACAGGTGCGACATGCACACACGCTGAACACACACATGCAGCCCAGGCTGCGTGCCAAGGGGCATGAACACACGATGCTGTCACTGTGGTTCTGCCTAAGGACCTGACGACACCGTTTCACCATTTCCTCTCTGCTTTGTGTTGCATTTCCTGTGCTCAGAAACACTGGGAGAGCCCTGGGCAGGGACAGGAGGACACGGGGCAAAGGGGAGACTCCAGCGCTCGCTGCTCCAGGCTCCTGGGCTCCCCAGGCTGCAGCATTCCCATAACCAAGCCCCAAGATGCTTGTGCCCCGGGAGGAAGGGTGATGCCACCACAGCCACATCAGCCGTTGACAGCAGGAACCACAGTGCCCTATGGTCCTGCCTCTGCCACTGCAGGCACTGGAGCTGCCCAGGGCTCCTGCTGTTGTTTGGGGTCCTTTCAATCCCCCCCCCCCCAGTTTCACAGGACTGGTGCCAGTATCACTCAAAGTCCCCATTGCCACTTCCACTGACAGAGCCCAACCTTTGCCCAGGGCATCAGCACAACCACAACCAGTTACCAGCACATTCCTGGACTCCTGCCCTTTCCCTCCCCTCCTTTCCGTGTGCCTGAACCTGGGCCAAGAGCGGCTGCTGAGTTTAATGTGTGCACAAGAAAGCACCGACCACACTGGGTCAGGGGCGAGGGGAAGAGGCAGCAGCTCCCCAGCCACTGGGGGGGTGCGGGTACCACATTGTGCCCTTGGAAATTCACCCCTGTACCCCAAAACATCAGCAGAGAGGCCCAAGGGGAGATGCCCCTCACTCCAACACATGCAGCACTGAAAGGATGGATGCAGGGAGGAGCTGTTAGGTGGGAAATGATGCTCAGTCCCAGGCAGGATGAAGCCCAGCTGGTACCAAGGTTATAAAAGGAGCACGGACGCAGCTCCTGGGGTTTGGGGCTGAGAAAGGGATTAGAGCAGAGCTCTGGTGGGATGGGGGCCTGGCTGAGCACTGACACTTCAGCACCTGTGTGGGTGCAGGATGTAACCGCGCTGTTTTCCTGTTTCAGGGGGTAACATCTGCACCACCCGCGGGGTGAACTCCTGCAAGCAGTGCCTGGCTGTGAGCCCTCTCTGTGCCTGGTGCTCTGCCGAGGTAAGGCAGGGATGTGGAGGAAGGGACGAGCCTTTGGGATGGGCGCTGCTCCCCTTGCCACAGCCGCAACCTCGGTCTCCATCTGTTCCCACCGTGTCTAAACGCGTTTATTGGTGGCATCCGGATCAGACCACAGCTTGGGATGCCCTCTCTGCCTTGCTCTGAAAACCTGAGCCTTATCTGAGTGCATTGGCAGGAGCTGGCTGGGAAATGCTGGTGATCCCACTGGAAATTCACTTTGTTAGGAAAAATGCATTTCAAACTTAGTTTACTTTTGGTTTGCTTCTTGATAACCCCTTGTAAAGCGCTAAGGCTAAAGTGCTTCACTAAGCATTTTACTAAGGCTAAAGGAGCTTAACTGCTGGAAGAGCTGGAAAAGGAAAGGAGGCTGGGGGGAAGAAGGGAAATCACCGATTAGAAGCTAGGATTTGGGTTTAAAAGCCTTTTGTTGTTGGAAAGAAGGGGGAAGGAAGACGAAGTGCCTGGGTTTGGGCTAAAGAGGATGTGAGAGCTGAGTCGTGGCTCTAAAATCACCCTGTTTAGGCAGGTGAGAGCCCCCATGATTTGCCACGTTCCCCTCCAAAAATGCTGCCCTGGGGTTAGTCCATCGGAAGGTAACGGGAGGGAGTTTCCCAACTGGATGGAGCAGCAGCCCCAGGGCAGAGGAGAGGCTGGGACGGGGAGAGGTGATGAAACCTCCTCCTTTGGCAAAGCTTTTCTTCCTTTCTGCTTCCCCACCCACGAAACCCCCGCTTCCCCCGGCTGAGATCGTGCCACCGGGAGCCGGGGGGAAGCAATCCAAGCTGGAAAACGCTCTTGGGTTGTGCCTGCGTGGCCCGATGCTCTGGGCTCAGTGTGGAGGGGATGCCTCTGCTCGCTGTGCCCATCGGCTCCTGGTGTGAGCGAAGATGCTTATGCCCAATCTCGCCTGCAGCAAGGGGTGTGACAAGGAGCCTCGTTCCCTGCTCCGGAGCGGGAATGGGGTTGGGTTTGTTCCTGGGAGCGGTGATGCTCGGGGCTCGGTTTTTCCTCCCCATCAGCAAAGGTTCCCAAAAAAGGAAATCTTTCCATGGCTGCTCATGGACGTGACGAGCCGGGAGGGAGCCGCCAGCAGCCGCCCCCCCGAGAGCCGGGCTCTGCCTCCAACATCTGGACGGCATTGGCTGAACACAGCACATGAGGGCTCTCTGTGTGGGTTTGTTTAATTTCCCAGGGGTGGGGAGGTCTCTGATACTGTGCCCCCCCCCCCCCCCCCCCCATCCCCATCCCCATCCCTCACTCGGTTTTTTAAAGGGAAAGTGTTCTTATTTGTGCTCCTTCTGCTCCTTTTCCACCCACATGGCTTCCCCAAGCAGCCTTTATCTGCTGCTCCAGCCTGCCTTTGGACAAGAGAAGGACTTCATTGTGGTTTCCTGAGGCTGATGCAGAGGGAATTGAGTTTTATTTAGTTTTCAGGAAGTTTGACTGCTTTTACCAATAGATGTGCCCATCCACTTCCCATTTCCATTGGGAAATGCCAGCCAACCTGTAACACTGAGACGTGGCTTTAAAATCATTTGGGAGGTTGTTGGGACACATCTTCCTGCCTCACCCCCTCTGGTTGCCTTGGAGGAAAGGGGGAGGCAAAGCTGGACCAGGGGTTTGTTCTAGAGAAGCCGCTGGAAGGTTTTAGCTTAATCTGCTGTGGCCTCTCTGCTTTGGGCTCTCTCCCGCCCAGAGCTGATGCTCTATGTGGTTGCCTTGGGCATGAAAATGGAGATGTCCTGGGGATGTAGGAATTCCCACAGCTGCCTGTGCTGGGAACTTGGGAAGGGAGCTGGCTCTGCCAGTGCCCTGCCTGGTCCTGCCTTCACTCACAAGGGATGCAGGCAGCAATCCGTATCATGAAGTGCTCCTTTAGTGCTACAGTGGCTTTTTCCTTTGCCTTTTTCAGTAGTTTTGTTGCTAGGGAGGCTCCTGTGAGTCCTGGATCCATCATCATATTTAGAGCTCCAGGGTAAGGGGTTAAATAGCATCTCCATGGGAATCTCAAAGCTGGAATGATGTTGTTAATCCCATAAGGTGCTGCGTGGCCTGGGAGTTTCCCAGCATCTCCAGGTATCAGCCATGAGCCCAGCCTGACTTTACCCTCATGCTTTTCCAGTGATTTCTCCACCTGGGACAGGAATGTAAGTGGTGATGGATAGGATGTGGCGTAAACCAGGCACCTCTTCCCACAGCAGGGAGCCCTGTGGGGCTGGGTGGGTTCAAGGCAGCTAAATGAGGGGATGAGCTGTCCTCTTGGGCAGCGGTGTGCTGGCCAGGCAGTGAGGGTGGGAGCAGGAGGCTGCAGGAACACATCTGCTGATGCATTTGCTGATGTATTCTCTGGCTATCACTCCACACTGTTTCCAGAGGGCTCTCGGCCAGCATAAAACACACGCATTCATTTCAGGGTTCAGGCAGCCTCGGGTGATGTCCTGCATGGGGAAACTCGCCAGCACTGGGAGGCTGCAGTTAGGATCCAACTGAACCAGCCCCAGCAGGACTTGTGCCACTTCCCTTTACTACAGGGAAAGGCTGTGCTGGTTGTCTGCTGTAGACTTTGAATGTAGGAGGGCTTGGGCTGTGGGAGGGAGATGGAGAAACCCTTTGGAGGGGAGGGAGCCTCTTGGCAGCATTGGGCTGGGAAAGAAATTCCTCCCATATCTGTCTTCGTGAGAAGCCAGAGACCGGAGCCCTTCTGAATGTGCTGTGATAAGGGCGAGGAGCCGGGAACTTTCTAGGAAAGAGGGATATGGCCAGACCCCATCGTGACTCCACATGTTGTGCTCCCGGCCCCTGATGGGCACTTGATGGCTTCTCCCACAGCCCGTTTTGCTCTTTCACTCCTTTTTTGGTTCTCCTTCCCCTGGCTGGCTCCATCCTGCAGGAAGCTGGAGAGTTCGATATAAGCCTGAAGTGTTCTTGCACAGGAACTGAGCATCACTTCATGCAATGGGCTCCCCACAGCAGGGGCCAGGGCTGAAACAGATGGGTTTCTAAAGGCACAGTAGATGAAAGTGGGAAAAGGTGGCTCGTGTTTTGCCATGGTTGAGGATGTAATAGAAGTTCCAGCCTCTGCTCCTCATCCCCTGCCATGTTCACATCCCTCCTCACCCTTTTCTGGCCATCCCACATAAAGGGCCTTTCCTTTTAGCTTAGCCAAAACCAAACCTGAGGCTCCAGCTGCCAGCAGCTGGGAGCGGGTTTGGCAGGGATCTGTTCTCCCTCGCTCCTTGGCAGGGGCAGCTGAGCTCCACCGGAGCACAACAGACCAAAACCTGCCCTGAACCCCAGCAGGACTCGTCCAGCATCTCCCTTGAGCAGAGGCACCGTGCCCCAAAGCACCTCTTACCCTGGTCTCCTGCATTAGGTGTGCTAAAGAGCTCTCCAGTGGAAAAGGGGGCCCTCCTTGTGCTGCAGCCATGGGGGCTCCTGGAGGAGCCTGGCTCCTGACCTTGTGCCTTTCCCGCAGGTCTTGGCACCAGGGTCCCCTCGCTGTGACCTGCACACCAACCTCCTGGAGAACGGCTGCGGGCACGACTACATCGAGTCCCCCAGCAGCAGCGTGACCATCCTGGAGGCCAGACCCCTCAGCGACAAGGGCTCAGGGAGCTCCATCACCACCCAGATGAGCCCCCAGAGAATACGGCTGAACCTGCGGCCGGGTGAGAGCCTCCAACTACCACGGGAAGGGGGGATGCAGTGGGAATAACTCAAAGGGCTCAAATGATGAGTGAGCCATCACTGCCTCACCAGCTCTTGTGTCCATGGGGGGCAATGCCAAGCTGGGAGCTGCACCAAAGCCTCCAGGAGCATCCCTGCTGTCTGCAAGCTGGTCGGTCTCCTGGCTCAACCCTGACGTGTCCCAGTGGGCAGGATGGGATACAGCAACTTCAGCAACACATGGGCTTATTTTATCAAGGCATTTAGACCTTGGCCACTGCTACTGTACTCTAAATGATTTGGTGGAGGTCAGCTCATGTCTAACAAGCTGTAGAGCAGCTGGAAGGGTTGGGCTGCCAACAGGTCCCTGTGATTCCCTAGGCTTGTTTCAGACAGGCTGGAGACAATTAACTGTGATGGTCTTTTGCCAGCATGGAGGAGTTCCAAGTGATGCCAAGCAGGAGGCAGAACTAACAGGCATCACTTTCCCAAGGTCACAAAACCGGTTTGGGGATGTGGAGAAAGTGGTACCGTCACCGTGCTCTGTCCCATGTGCAGCCCATTTCCTGCCATCCATTCATGGGTGACTCTTCCAGTCTCAGCAGGAGCAATTTTGGTTCCTTGTGCTCATTAAAGCCCAGATATCAGTGGTTGATTGCACATTCTTGGGCCTTCCAGACAGGAGTACTCACCCTGTATGTCTAAAGTGACCCCATGCAATGGGGACATGTAGCTGCTAAGTGGCCCTTACAGATATTTGGCAGGAGGCAGGTAGTTGTGGTGCTCTGGAGAGGAACAGATACAGTGTGCAGTGCTGAAGCCCCTGTTTCTTGGAAGCAGTACAAGAAAACCCCAGTTGATCTCTGTCCAACAGAGGCTTGGCATGAGTCATTGGCCTCTACTCATGAATCAAGACCAAATGTTAAAGGGTTTGAGGAGGACAGGTCACAGCCCATGGCCCACAAGCTCAGTCCTGGTTTTAGCTCTACAAGAAGAAACAGATGCTCTCTGAGCGCTGAGTTGGGCCCCCTGACTGTGTGGTGACGACGTGGAGGAGCTGGAAGGAGCCAAGAGGGAAGGAACAGGGATGGGGAAGGCCTTGGGAGATGCTCAGAGTTCTTGGTTGCTCAGGGAAGTGCAAAGCAGCCATACAGTGCTCTGGTAATCCCTGTATCCATACGCTGGGTCTTTCACTCACTCCATTCAGCGCGTGTTGGTCATGCTGTTCATGCAGCTTCTGAGGGTCAGCTCTGGACAGGAGGTTTGGAGAACAGGACCTATAAGCACGTTTGCCATCTCCAAGGTGCACACCATTATCTCCTGTGCAAGCACCCTGCCCAAAGGGCTTTGCCCCTTTGTGTACAAGTGTGATGTTCTCCTCCCAGAAGCTTTAAGCCATCTCCTTGGGTTCCTGCTGACCCCATAGGTTGATTTTTCTCCCTAGTTCTGCAGTGATCCCCCCCGCTCCTCCTAGGAGAGGATCTCTCACTCCCTGTCACATTACAGATGATTCCCAGATCTTCCGTGTCCAAGTGCGACAAGTGGAAGACTACCCCGTGGACATCTACTACCTGATGGACCTGTCCAACTCCATGAAGGACGATCTGAGGAACATCCAGAACCTGGGCACAAAGCTGGCCAGTGAGATGCGCAAGCTCACCAGCAACCTACGCATCGGCTTTGGAGCCTTTGTGGACAAGCCCATTTCCCCCTACATGTACATCTCCCCTCCAGAAGCCATCATCAACCCTTGCTATGAGTAAGAAAGTGACTTCTAAAACTCCCAGCAGGACAGAGCCCTTCTCTAGGACATGTGGTTGCTTCACCAGCCTCTGGCTGTGTCCTTGGGCTCTTGGGGTGGTTGGGTCCCTGCAAGCACCCTGGATGGGCCCATGGGAGGTGGGATCTGATCCTCATGCCCTGCCTGATGCCCTGCAGGATCGGGGAAACCTGCCTGCCCATGTTTGGGTACAAGCACGTCCTGTCGCTCACGGACGAGGTGACCCGCTTCAACGAGGAGGTGCGGAAGCAGAGCGTCTCAAGGAACCGTGATGCGCCTGAGGGTGGCTTTGATGCCATCATCCAGGCCACCGTGTGCGATGTAAGGGGCAAGAAAGCCAGGCTGGGGCTTGGGAGATGCTCAATGGGTTGGCCCTGGTGGGTTGGCAGAGACCATCCAAGCCCACCAGGTAAGGAACATAAACCCTGTGGTGTTGCTGCATGGCTCCGATCTGCAAAAGATGGGCATTAAACTTGAATGCTTCTAGACCAACAGCCAAGGCAAGGGAAGAGCAGGGCCCTTACATGGTCCTGGGAGGAGACAGGAGCAGATCAGGTACTTGGGAACTGATGATCACAGAATCATGGAATGGTTTGGGCTAGGAGGGACCATAAAGCTCATCCAATTCCAATCCCCTGCCACGGGCAAGGACACCTTCCACTAGAGCAGCTTGCTCCAAGCCCCGTCCACTTAACACTGCCAAGGATAGAGCACAATGATCCCGTGTCAGCCCTGCAGTAACCAGCCCAAAACAGACATCCACCTTGTGCCTCCACCTTGATTTTGCTGGGAATGGGAGGGATTGCAGCCCATATCCATGACCTGGGGCATGCAAAGGCAGCAGCAGGGTGCTGGCACATAGGGCTGCTGCACAACCGGGAGCTGTCTTTCACTACAGGAGAAAATCGGCTGGAGGAATGATGCTTCCCACCTCCTCGTCTTCACCACGGATGCCAAGACCCACATCGCGCTGGATGGCAGGCTGGCAGGCATTGTGCAGCCCAATGACGCCCAGTGCCACATTGACAAGGACAATTTCTACTCTGCCTCCACCACACTGGTAAATCCCAACCTCCACAATGGGGCTGTGGAGACCCTGTTGAGGAACCCCATGGGATGGCAGAGGTGATCCAGCCATGGCTGGAGAGCATGATGGGCACCAGGGTGGTTGGGGGTACATGTTCTTTGGGTACAGCCTCTCCTCCTCCCCAGGACTATCCCTCTCTGGGCCTGATGACTGAGAAGCTCTCCGAGAAGAACATCAACCTGATCTTTGCTGTGACAGATACAGTGGTTGGCCTCTACCAGGTAACAGCCCCTGTGCAAAGCCACCTTCTTAGGGGGGTGGTGGGTCCCAAGGAGCATCCTTTGCAGCTGGCCATGGGTGGCCGCATATAGCTTGGAGGTCTCCTGTCCTACCAAAGCTCGTAGGGAAGCTCCCATGTGCCCAGACAGGGTTTGCCTAAGTTACAAGCAACCCATGCTTATGATATTCCTGCAGAACTACAGTGAGCTGATCCCAGGCACAACCGTGGGCACCTTGTCCAGAGACTCCAGCAACGTCCTGCAGCTCATAGTGGACTCCTACGGGGTGAGTGTGCAACGTGATGGCCCCACACAGCTCTCTCCCTCCCAAAATAGCCACTGCTTCACACTGCAAACAGCCCACACAGAGTTGGCAGCTCCCCCAGCCCTGAGCATCTTTCCTGGGCCAGCTGTGAGCATCTGCCTCCACCAATGCATGCGGGAATGCTGGGGAAGGGAGGTCACTGTGTTCACTGCCTGCCCCTTCCCATCCTCAAAGGCATTTCCCAATGGGGAATGATGTAGCCAAGTCCTGAGAAAGACTCAAGAATCTTGGCTCCCTTCCCGTGTGCATGGGAGCATCGTGGTGGAGCGGGAGCCCCATCTCAGGGGCTGCTCCCTGCCCAGCCTCTGCTGTCACCTTCAACTCTTCTCTCTCCTCGCCTAGAAAATCCGCTCCAAGGTGGAACTGGAGGTGCGTGACCTCCCTGAAGAGCTGTCCCTGGCCTTCAATGCCACCTGCCTCAACGACGAGGTCATCCCTGGGCTCAAGTCTTGCGTGGGGCTCAAGATTGGGGACACGGTGAGGATCCTGTTCGTGGACTTGGTTTTTCTCCCCCTCCATGTAAAGCCTGATGCTCTCTACCACCACCGCCTCCTTGCCCCACCACCTCCCTGGTTACACAGGGACCTTTGCAGTGGAAAGAGGGGTCCAGCAAGGATGAAGATGCTTTTCTGAGTCTGCTGAATGCAAACTCTATGGTTCAATAGCTCAGGCCAGGCTGCTGGGTGCGGTGAATGGGATTCAGCCTGGTTACTGTGGCAGGCCCAACCCATGTTGGGACAGCTCTGAAAAGCCAAAGCAATGTGATGGGTCCCATTTTGGGGCTCTCTAAGCTTGGGGTGGGTACTGCGGCACGGTGCTGATGGCTGGATGCTCCCCCTTGCCCTCCAGGTGAGTTTCAGCGTCGAGGCCAAGGTACGGGGGTGCCCGCGGGAGCGGGAGAAGTCCTTCACCATCAAACCCGTGGGCTTCAAGGACAACCTGACCGTGGTGGTGAACTTCGACTGCGACTGCTCCTGCGAGAGCCAAGCGGAGGCCAACAGCTCGTCCTGCAGCGGAGGCAACGGCACCCTGGAGTGTGGCGTGTGCCGCTGCAACGCCGGGCGCCTGGGCTCGCACTGCGAGTGCTCGGAGGAGGAGTACAACCCCTCGCAGCAGGACAACTGCAGCCCCCGGGCAGGCCAGCCCCTCTGCAGCCAGCGCGGGGAGTGCATCTGCGGGCAGTGCGTGTGCCACAGCAGTGACTTCGGGAAGGTGACGGGCAAGTACTGCGAGTGCGACGACTTCTCCTGCGTGCGCTTCAAGGGGCAGATGTGCTCGGGTGAGTGATGGGCAGAGAGCGGATCAAGGTGCTCGCGGCACCCAAGGTCATGGAGAAAGGTGGCACCAGCTGTTTTGGGGGTTGTCCAATGCGTCGTCCCCACCGCTGGCTTGCTGCTCAGCAATGGCTCTGCCTGGACCGCAGCAGAAGGGAATGGCGATAGGATAAGGGTGATGGGTTCAGATTTACTCAGGAGAGATTCAAATGAGACATCAGGAAGAAATTATTCCCTGTGAGGGTGCTGAGGCGCTGGCACAGGGTGCCCAGAGAAGCTGTGGCTGCCCCATCCCTGGTAGTGCTCAAGGCCAGGTTGGACACAGGGGCTTGGAGCAAGCTGCTCCAGTGGAAGGTGTCCCTGCCCCTGGCAGGGGTTGGAGCTGGATGAGCTTTAAGGTCCATTCCAACCCAAACCATTCCATGACCAGGCCTGGGTCTGAAGCGATGCCAGAGGAATTACTCCCTTTTTGGCAGCTGGGGTCACCTCCTGTGCCTGGGCTACAGGGTTAAAAACAGACCTCAGTCCTCACTTAGACTCAGAACTCCCATCAAGGGGGCTGGTGGGCACCCAGGGGTGCACAGAGCAGGGACCCTGCTTGAATCACAGCACCCATCGTATCAGAGGTGTTGTTCTGTGGGAGGAAACCCCAGCGTGGATGGGGAGGGATGGGGAAAGGCAATTTTTATCCTGCACTTAGTTCTTGAGGACTCCCTGTTGGCAAAAGCATTGGGGAAGTGAATACTCTCCCTTGCTGGCCCTGCATCATCTCCTCTCCTGAACAAACATCTCTTCCATGTGCTACCAGACTGCCCTGCTCCAGCCCTGGCTGCTGCTTCTCTCTTCACTGGGGAGACAGAACCAGGTCCTTGGGTTCTCCTCCTACACCAGGCACTGGGGAAGGAGTCCCTCTCTGTAGGACACCCATCCCAGCAGTGGTTTCAGATGTCCTGATGTGCCTCTTCCCCATAGAGGGTTTCTCCCATCCACTTCTCCAGTAAGCACTGGAGCTCTGAGTGAACCCCCAAGCTCTACCCCATCCTCTCAGTGGATGCAAGAGGGGTGGCAGTGCCCGAGACTGGGGCATGAAACTGTGGCACATCCCAGAAGTGGTTCAAGGAGGAATGAGGAGGGGGCTGCCACCCCTTTTCCTGTTCCCAGCCTCCCTCTGTATGTCCCCAGATGGAGTTTTTGGGACCTCACCTGCCCCTCAGCCCATGTCAGTGGGATTGATGCTTTACCTTATCAGCCTGCTGCTAACACAGGTGGAAACGCTGGGTTTTCCCTCACCCTGCACCGTCGGTGCCCTTGTGCCCGCTGGCGCCTGTTCCTGCCGCCTGTTTGCACAACCACTCACTGCCTGTTTGGACAAGGGCTGCTGATGCTCTGCCCCAGCCTGGCTGAGCTGTTCATTAACCTGCTCTGGCTGACCCTGCTGGCATCCATCCCACCCCACTGAGCCACTGGAGAAGAGAAAGTTGTGTGGACACCTCAGAGCAGCCTTCCAGTATCTGAAGGGTGCTTATAGGGATGCTGGGGAGGGACTCTTCATTAGGGACTGTAGTGACAGGACAAGGGGTAACGGGTTAAAACTGAAACAGGGGAAGTTTAGATTGGATCTGAGGAAGAAGTTCTTTACTGTGAGGGTGGTGAGGCACTGGAATGGGTTGCCCACGGAGGTTGTGAATGCTCCATCCCTGGCAGTGTTCAAGGCCAGGTTGGACAGAGCCTTGGGTGCCATGGTTTAGTGTGAGGTGTCCCTGCTCATGGCAGGGGGGTGGAACTGGGTGATCTTAAGGTCCTTTCCAACCCGAACTATGATTCTATGTTTCCATGCCTTGCCACCCGGTGTGCCACTGTTTTCCTGTGACTCAGCCCCAGGTCCTCATTCACGGGGTTACACATTGATTTCTCATGCCGACGTCCCCACAGCCCTGGCGGGGATCATTCCTGGCCAATCTCCTGCTGGAAAGCAGCATTCCCGACGTGCCCCAGTGCACAGGCCTTGGGACGGGTCTGCGTGTGCTGGCTCCATGACATTCCCATCCTCTACTGTGCCTTTGAGCTGTAATCAAACCGCAGTGCAAATAGCCCCAGGCTTTGGCAGGGTTTGAGCATGTCTGTCTGTCTGATTAAGCCAGTCTGAGAGTGCAGAGCTTGTTGGGCCTTTCTCAGCAGTCAGCTTCTGCTGCCTGGTCTGGGACTGGGAGAAAAGCAGGATTTGGGGGTTTAACCTGACTCAGTCTGAAATTAAAAGCCAAAGCCAGGCTTGACTAACTCGGAGCTGGATCTGATTGAGCATCTCCAGCTGCTGCTGCCGGCAGCGTGGGTTGTTTGGGTAGAATAAGAGGAGCATTGGGGTTGCAGCAAAGGTTTGATGTGAGCTGTGCCCCACCCTATGGACAGTAGAACGGGGCTGTCTTGGGCCCTGCCATGCCAACAGCCCCATCTGGCTGAACGCTATTGGGATCTATGGGGATGCTCAAGGGTCCTGATGGCCTCTGGCTTGTCCCCAGGCCACGGGCAGTGCAGCTGCGGGGACTGCCTGTGCGACCCGGACTGGACCGGCGACTACTGCAACTGCACCACGCGCACCGACACGTGCATGTCCAGCACCGGGCTGGTGTGCAGCGGCCACGGCTCCTGCGTCTGCGGCAAGTGCGACTGCACCCAGCCCGGCTCCTATGGAGACACCTGCGAGAAGTGCCCTACCTGCCCGGATGCCTGCACCATCAAAAAGTGAGCAAGGGCAGAGCTGGGACCGGTCCTACCCCACTGTGGAGCTGGGGTGGGTCATGGGGGTGCCACATAGGATGGATTGGGTTGGAAAGGACCCGAAGAGAGACCTTCCAGTAGAGCAGCTTGCTCCAAGCCAACCTGGCCTTGAACACTGCCAGGGATGGGGCAGCCACAGCTTCTCTGGGCACCCTGTGCCAGTGCCTCAGCACCCTCACAGGGAAGAGCTTCTGCCTTATCTCCAACCTGAACTTCACCTGTTTGTTCAAACCCATCACCCCTTGTCCTATCACTCCAGTACCTGATTAAGGCCCCTCTCCAGCATCCTTGTAGCCCCCTTCAGACACTGGAAGCTGCTCTGAGGTCTCCACACAGCTTCTCCAGGCTGAACAGAACCCATCCCTGGCAGTGTTCAAGGCCAGGTTGGACACAGGGGCTTGGAGCAAGCTGCTCCAGTGGAAGGGGTCCCTGCCCGTGGCAGGGGTTGGAGCTGGATGAGCTTTAAGGTCCCTTCCAACCCAAAGCATCCATGGTATCCCATCAGTGAGCCGGCAGCAGTGGCAGCAGGAGCTCTCACACCCTGCAGCCTGGCTGGCTTGGGACTGCAGTGATTTCTGCTGCCTGAGATGCAAGGTGGTGAGCACGGGGGAGCTCACGGCACCTCTCTGCTCTCCTCTCCCTCAGGGATTGTGTGGAGTGCAAGAAGTTTGAGCGGGGGACGCTGGTGGAGCAGCAGTCCTGCAGCCGCATGTGCCGTGATGAGATTGAGACTGTGCAGGAGCTCGGTGAGAGAGAGCCCCAAACCCTGTCCTGAAGGGTGGGAATAGGGGGGCTGCGTCCACCACCCACTTTCCCTCCCCATGGGCACCCCCCTAACCCAGGGGGCTCTGAATCTCTCGCTCTGGCAGTTGACAGGGGCAAGGATGCCGTGAACTGCACCTACAAGGATGAGAATGACTGCGTGGTGAGGTTCCAGTACTATGAGGACTCCAGCGGCAAGTCCATCCTCTACGTTATCGAGGAGCCGGGTAAGATCCAGCTGGAGGGATGCAGAGGGAGCTGTGCTGTGTTTCTGTGCTGAGTGGGGAGATTGGGCTTGATCCTAAAGTTCTTTTCCAACCTATTGAATCTATGCTTTTGAGTGCCTGTTTTACCTCCCACCCCAGCCAGGTTCATGGGCACAGGGGCTGTGAGGGAGGTTAAAGAGCTGCTTTGTTCCCTGCTCCATGCCACAGGGTGTGATTTCCTGCCTCTGTCTCTTGTTTCCCCACCTCTTCTTGGTTATTTCACACCCTGCACTGAGGCCAAGGATGGGGCCTCAACCTTCCCACTGCCCTCATCCTGCTTCTGGCTCCATGGGGTGATTCTACTTGAGAAGCAGACAGGAGCTGGCTCCCATTAGCCAGGGCTGGGATACAGCAGAGCATCCCTGGGGTCTCCAGAGACCTCAAGGTCTGAGCTGGGGGTTGCATACCCTTCCAAAGCAGGGCCATGGAAGCAGCCCCCAGCAGGGCTGCAGCCCACCCTCCAGAGAGGAGCTTGAGGATCTCAGCACGTGCACCTCATGGATGGGATCCTCCTATATAGAACCTGCTGTGCTCAAGGAGGGGAGGCTCCTGCTGTCTAACAGGGCAGGGTGAAGCCCTCCTAAGACCACAGCAGCTCCATGTTCTTATGGCCAGGCAGCCCCAGAGCTGAGCTTCCCCAACCCTGCCCTTCTCCCTCCTCCAGACTGCCCGAAGGGGCCGGATGTCCTGGTGGTCCTGCTCTCAGTGACGGGCGCCATCCTGCTCATCGGCCTCGCTGCTCTGCTCATCTGGAAGCTCCTCATCACCATCCATGACCGTCGGGAGTTTGCCCGTTTCGAGGAGGAGAAGGCCAGAGCCAAGTGGGACACGGTGAGGACCAGTGGATCGGGAGTCCCTGGATCTGAGTGGATCCAGATCCCAGTGCTCCCAGCATAAGAGCCCAATTGCTGTCTGTGGTCCCAGGGCATGGTCCTTAGGGACCAGCTTGCTCCATCCCCCTATGAAGCACGAAGGATTCAGGGTGACACTGCCCAACCTGGACACCCCTTCCATGTGGTCCCAGAGGATGTGTACAGGTGATAGCACATGTCCCACATGATCTTCCCACCTCTGGCTTATTCCAAGCATTGTCACCAGCGTGACCCTCTTACTCACTGCCCACACCAGTGCTTCCATCCTGTGAGCAAGGCAGAAAGTCCCTCCTGCCATGGGATACTGGAGGAGCTGAGGCACCCAGAGCACAAGGACTGGGATAGCACCAGTGCCTGTCCCTCACTTCCTCCTCTCCCCAGAGGGAAGGGATGGAGAGGCATGGGATGATTCTCTCCGCAGCTTCCTGCTGCCTTTCTCCACCTCCACAGCAACTTCTCCCTGCTCTCCCCCATGAAACCTTATGGGCTGAAGCCTTGAGTGGAGATATGGATTAACCACTCAATGCTGACCTGGTGCCTCAGTTTTCCCAGCTGTAAAATAGAATGAATGTTGATGCCAAGCACAAAATGATGATGTCCTTTCTACTCCTCCTTCTTCCAGGGCCACAACCCTTTATATAAAGAGGCTACATCTACCTTCACCAACATCACGTACCGCGGGAACTGAGGATGCCGCATGCAGCGCTGCCATGGGATCACCCTGTGTGCTCTGTTGGAGTCCAGTTTACAGAAGAGCTCGAGTGTGTTTCTGTGTGGGTGTGAATGTCTGTGTGTAATTTAACAACCCCTCGACTGCCTCCAGAGCCCTGTAACCGCAGGGATGTGCTTTCCATGGCAAACCTCTCGTCCTTACCTCGGTGGGTCGCCCCGCAGGATCCGGCGGCCCCTCCATACACTGAACACGGAGAAACGGGACTTTGTCTGCCTGGCCAGTTTGTCAACCCTTTGGTGCTCATTGGGCCAGGTGGATTTCATGAGCAGATGCTCAAACTAAGTGCTGAGCTGTGATCTCCTGCTGGTGAAGCTCTGATTGCTCCAAGCATCCCTTCGTGAACTGGACAGATGTGGAGCCCTTGGGCACAGGAGCCATCCCTTGGCTTTGTGGGTTGAGGACACTGCTCGAGCAACCCACCAGCCCTGTGTTTCTGGTAATACTCTGGCCCAGGATGGTGTAAAGCAGCGCCCCAGCATCATGGTACCCTTCCTTTCATGTTCCACCATTGCCCAACCTTATGTAGCATCAGCTGTGCTGGTCCCAGCTGCAGCCCCTGGGCTGGTGCTAAGCTCCCCATGTCCCCCTCCACTCTCCACTGTCTTCATGCCACAACTCATGCAGGTGCACAGGCAGCAGCCTCAGGAACGCCGTGCTGCCCATTGTCCCCTGAGCCTGGCCACCTTTCTTCCTTTGCTGTGCTTTTTGGGCTGCATAACTGCACCAAGCTTGGTTTTCTGGTTCTAGAGGAGCAGGCACCATTCAGGTCGTGTCCTGCTGCCTGGAGCTCTGTTGTCCTGTTGGGAAAAACAAAGCAATGTCCTGATAGCAGAGTTTGCTGTAACAGTGCTGCTGCCCTGCCCCAGGGAGAGCACAGCGGCTCTAAGGGGTAGCTTCATCCCCTTTGCACCAAAAAGCATCAGTGCCTGGTGTGGGACTGGTCCCGAGGGCCCCAACTGTCTGAGCTGGTGGTGGCTCTGTCCCTGCTCCCTGGCTGTGTGGGAGCAGGGGCAGGGGTTGGATGGGCAGCACCGGAGCAGCAGCGATTCACACCATGGAAATAACCCTCGATACAATAAAAGATGTCACACACAGCTGGCTGAGGGTGAATTGTGGCTCCTGGGAAGAGCAAAGCCTCCTGTAAGGCTCCTTTTTGTTTCACTTATTATGGGCTAAGTGAACCCAAAGATGCGCTAAGTGTTCCCAGCCAGGGTGTATGGTGGAGGAGAGCAGCATCACCACCTGCCTGCTGAGTGTATGAGAACTATCAGTGGCTTTTGGAAGAGGAAAATGCTGCTCTTAGTAATGCTTGAATGCTTAGTAATGCTTGGAATGAGTTTGTTCCTAGGCGTAGTTCCAGCCCTTCAGAGAACACATTCAGGTGATGGTCAACATTTCCTTCCAGTGGTTGTTTGGGGGGGGTTATTTTGCTTTCTTTATTCCTTGCTATAATTTAACAGCTTTAACCTGCCAGAGGGGAGACTGAGATCAGCTCTTAGCCACAAGCTCTTCCCTGTGAGGGTGCTGAGGCGCTGGCACAGGGTGCCCAGAGAAGCTGTGGCTGCCCCATCCCTGGCAGTGTTCAAGGCCAGGTTGGACACAGGGGCTTGGAGCAAGCTGCTCCAGTGGAAGGGGTCCCTGCCCGTGGCAGGGGTTGGAGCTGGGTGAGCTTTTAGGTCCCTTCCAACCCAAACCAGGCTGTGGTGCTGTGGTGGCTCTCTGAAAGCTGGGCACGGGGCTGCGGGGACACCCAGCGGCCACTCTTCACAGCAGCATTTTGCCTGGTTCTCTGCTCCCCTCTCAGCCCGCCCCTGGACCACAGGGTGCAGGGCGCCCAGGGCAGCACCCGGTGCCCGCGGCTGCACTGGGGGTTGAGGAGGGCGTCCCAGCACCCAGGTGTGCTCTGGGGTTGGATTGGGTTGGATCTGCCCCCAGGAGAAGCACTTCAACTGCAGGGTAGGCTGAGGGGAAGGCAAAGGGATCCTCAAGGCTACAACACAAAGGAGCAGGATGAGACCACCGAGCTGGCTGGCTGAGTGGGAGTTTGGGGTGCAGGAGTTTCACTCGATTCCTCTGTGCTTGCCCTGAAGCAGCACTTGGTTTGGGTCCCCACGCCATGATGCTGCAGAGCTTGTGGGTCACCCTGGGGTGCAGAACAGTCACCCACTCTGGGAGCTGCACCCACTGAGCCCAGTCCTTCCCATAGGATGCATCCAGCCTGCACAGGGGCTGATCCTGCGCAGGGCTATGGGTAGGATGTTGTCCCCATCCCTGTGCCTCCCTGCGCCCCAGGTATCCCACTGTGCCCCATCACACCCTATCCCAGCTTGCTGGTGGTGCAGAGCTGAGCCTCGGAATGTTGCTGGTACTACCAGGCTCTCTGTGACATCAGGCAGAACACAGGGTGCTGCAGGGGACCAGAAAAGGGTTGAAGTCCCTGTTACAACAGGGCTGGGTTGAGGAGGGGATGGATTCCAGCAAGCCGCTGGATTCCCATGAGCCTGTAGCCATTGAGGCCCTGCCACAGGCATCACAAGATAGCTTAACAGAAATTCAGGCTAGTCAGGATTCATCCGTGTGCTCGGAAGCCCCACCAGGCCCCACGCCGGCTGATGTCCACAATCACGGCAAGATCTCCAGCAGGACTTCCAAATGCAGCAAGAAATCCATATCCAGCAGGACCTCCACATCCAGAAGGGCTTCCACATCCAGTGGGACCTCTGCGTGAGTGAGGGGGTGCCTCCTTGGATGGAGGGAGCCCACATTTGCTGTGTTTCAGTCTCCTTATGTTCCCTGCTTGTCTGAAAGGCAGAAAAGCTGCAGGGCATAAGGGGAGGGTGATGGAGAATGTTGTCAATATTGCAGAGACTCTGGTCAATACTGGTTGCTGTTGATGGTTGAGAGTTATCCACCTAGGCGGGTGACACACAGGAAGAATGTGTCAGGGGAACATAAGGCAACGCAGGTGAGGGTGAGCAGCACTGGGCCCCACACATCCACATGAGCTCTTTTGGCAGGATGCCCGCACCCCAAAACTATGTGCCCATCACCCCCACACACAGCCCTCATCCCCAGGGATGCAGCTGGGTCATGCCAGGGGCTGTATGTCTGTATATTATCCTGGGAAGCACAGACAAGGATTTGGTCTGGAGATGGATCTGACTGCTGCTGAGCATCCTGATGTGGCCCAGCTTGGGGTGGACACCTACACAGGAATTGGGACCCTCCACAGGCCCACCAGATAGAGGCTGATGGGCCCCTCTCATCCCCCTCCCTGGGCTCAGCCTATGCTCAGGCAGTGTTTGATGGTGTGGGTGTATCTGCCCCCAGACCCCCTCTTCCTTCAACCTGTTACCAACTGAATGGCTGCTGTGGAACAAGAAGAAGAAGAAACAGAAGACCACAAGTGAAAGCCAGGACCAGCCGCAGCAGCAAGTCCCAGTGGTCAGCAATATCAAGGGGAGCACTTCCCATGCACCACAACCCAGAGCCCCCAGCATCCCTAGGACAGCTGTCACAACCCAGGACAGGTAACGAAGGGACCATCTCAGGTTGAGCCAGTCCCACCCTTGAGGCTCTCTCGGGGTGATCTGGGTCCCCAAGGCAGAGGGACATCTCACACTTGCCCCTTGTCTGCTCCCTTAGTAGGAAGAAAATGTCCAGCGTGAGCGTGAGGCAGTACAGTGAGGTGAGAGGAAAGCAGGATGAGGCTGTGCTGGAGCCAGAAGGTAACTCTGCTCCTCCCCAACCATTTCAACTGTGTTTGCTCCTCTGAAATCCTTTGTTCCACCTCGATGATGGTGGAGAAACCAGAGTGATGCCATGTGTGCGGTTCAGGCAGAAGATCCCCATTTCCCATTGAGCTGTGGGAAGAGGCAAGACCCCTGTTTAGCTCAAGTTCACTGCCCCTTGATGCCAGCGAGCAGGGCTGCTTGCAGGACCATGAAGACCAGCTCCTGGAGTGGCTTTATCCCAGAAACCCAGGGCTGTGTCACTGTTGGGCAGCATAAAGAAGCGTGAGCAACCAGAGGTACCTCCTGGGGTGGGTGGGGAAGGCAGTGGTTGCTCTCAGCTACATTTGCAAGCAGTAATAATTCCAACCTGCTGAACCTGCACGTTTTGGGCTGCGTTGAGGCTGCTGGTGTTAGGGACCACTAGATGGTGATGTCTGTACGGGCTTGGGCACCTTTCTGGGCTGTTTTCTGATCATCTCCACAGGGGATGGAGATCCCCAGGGGAAATTTCCCCCATGGAGGTTTCCAGCTAGTGGGGACAGCCCTCAAACCACCCCACAGACACAGTTCCTGCAGCAGCACTTCGGGCCAGGGTTCCTTTTGATGCTACTTTTACTTCTGAAAGCACTGAAGTGCCTCCTCTTCTTGGAATCCATTCATACATCCTATAAACTGATCTCTGGTAATAAATCCAGGAGTGAGCAAAGCGTTTCACGCTGCAGCAAGGAGATGATTTAAGGTGTCTTCTATCCCCTCCACAAGCCAGAACTGTGTTTTCCAGGTCTCTAGGAAACTTTCTGAAATGAAACATATCTCCCCATTGGGTCTAGGGAAGTGGGACAGCGTTGGAGAGGTGAAGCCTCAACTACTGCCAGAGGAAATTCACTTACTAGACCAGGATCAGCTACCCCCAGAGGAAATCCACTTAGCAGACCAGGATCAGCTACCCCCAGAGGAAATCCATTCAGCAGACCAGGATCAGCTATCCTCAGAGGAAATCCACTTTCCAGAGGAAATCCACTTTCCAGACCAGGATCAGCTACCCCCAAAGGAAACCCGCTTACCAGGCCAGGATCAACAGGAGGCACTGGAGGATGGTGAGTGTACCAGCACCTCGGGATTGTTCAGGATCTGGAGCATCCACTGGGCAGGAGGAGTAAGACTTGAGGACCAAGAAAAAGCTGGAATTAAAAACCGAAATGCTGACATTTCCCAGGACACAAAACCACAGGATAATTGAGGCTGGAAGGGACTTCAAGAGGCCTCAAGTCCAAAGCTGGGTCAGCTGTGAAATGAAACTGGGTTGCTCTGGGATTTACCCTTTATAGGACTTCCAGAGCTGTAAAGGAGTCAGGGTTAGCCTGGGATGACAGTGTCATGCTCTGGGGAAAGCCTGGCACTCCAGCCAAAAAGGCCCTGATTTGGGAAGCAGTTTTGGGGTGAGATTCTCTAAAATCACCAAATCCTGTGTGGATATGAGATGTCTCAGTCTTATAAATTGCCCTCTTGGTGAGACATTTAAAGCTGCAGCCCTGCAGATTCTTGTATTTTGGGCTCCCCTTCCTCAAACCCACTTTCCCCACTGACTAAGCCTCATCTTCCCAGATATCCCAGGGGACACAGCTGACATCCATGCTGCAGATTCCAAGGTGGGCATCACAGAGTTCCCCTCAGCCAGCGAGGAGCTGCTGGAAGTCCTAGAACACATCACAGATGGGGACCACCATTTCCCTGCCTTGCTCCCTGCTCCTCTGTGGTCCCTACAGCCACCATCCCAGTGCCAGGAGCAAGGGGAGGCTGTGAGGCATGGGCTACACCATGCACTCAGAGCTTAAATCCTCTCCCTTTCTCCCCTCACTGTAGTCTTGTGTTGAGTTTTGACTTTGATTTATTTGGCACATAGTGGGACTTGTGTCTTGGCAAGATAGAAATGCCACCCCTCAGCGTATCAAAGAGGGGGACTGTGCTTAGAGCCTGCACATGTGGTGCAGCATGGAGGGACATGATGGGAGATGAATGGCCATGGAAAGGGAATTTAATCCTTCTTGGCCTCAGCATCCCACCCTGCCTGAGGGGAGGGAGTTTCACTGCATTATTGTGGCTACAGTCCTTTAGATCCTGAGAGGGAAAGGGTAGGTGAAAGGCAAAGGAGCCTCTATAATTATTAATAACTATTTTTGCCAAGTGTCTCTGTGCCAGCATGCAGAGCAGCTTTCCAACCCTTTCTTGTTACAGAGGGGACAGACACTGAGAAGAATCTGAGCTCTGACCTGGCCACAGTGGTGAACTACATCTCAGAGCCAGAGGACTTGCTGTGTCTTGCTGCTGTGGATGATGCCTCTCTGGCTGCCCTTCCGCTGCCATTGTCAGAGCCTGACATCTTCATGGAGAACCAGGCCTTGCTGCTGGAGAGATGCCCTACTCCACCCAAATATTCCCCAGACCCTACCTTAGAGTACAAAGATGACACCGAGGACATAGAGTCCATCCTGGAATCTATCACCAGCAAGGTCCTGACCAGCACTGAGAGGCTAGAAAACTCAGGACACATGGGAGGTAAGGGCAGGTCTTTTTCTTTGGAAGAAACTTAGAAATCTCTGGAAGCAGATGAGCTAAAAGCCTTGTGCATGCCTGTACTGGTGCTTCTCAGATGACAAGGACATGATGTTAACACAGAAGCTACACAAGGCAACTGATTCCCTTAAAAGGAATCTTGAGTGCTGTTTTTCTTCCTTTCCTTAGAAGGAAAACAACTCTCAGAGGGGCTTTTTGATTTTCCTAGAGGACAAAGTTGCTGCCATCAGTGAGGGCTCCATCCTGTCCATCCCAGAGATCCATCCAGACTCAAAGGAGCTGAAAAAGGCAAAAATGAATGGTGAGTGCATCGTAAAAATACTGGTGGCAAGGAGCCCCTGGAGGCCTCCAAACCAGCCTCCCATGTGGAGCCAGTTCTTGCCTCATGTCTGCCAGCCAGAGCAGGTGCTGGATTAGCAGATGAAGGACAGTATCTGTGACAGAGAGCTTGGTGTGATGTTAATCCCCTCCTGTGACTAGTCAGCCTTTGGCTACCATGAGCAGAGGATAGGGAAGGCTGGGAGGGCACGGGGTTTCCATTGCTGGACAGCCTGCTGCCCATGAGCATGAAGAGACGGTGAGTTAATGCTGCAGTAGCATGAAACAGGGAGAGGTGTCATCACAGGGTCCTTCCAGCTCTCCTGGTGATGGCTACAGCGGAGAGTCCTGCCTGATGGGAAGCCTGTGAGACTCTCCCCTTATTTGTCTTTCCACATCCAGAAACAGCTGCTGCTTCTCCTGTCTGGACTTCCAAAACCAGTGCAATGACAAAGCCTGTGCCAATGAAGAGGGTGGTAAAACCTCTCCCAAAGAAGCCAGTGTGGTGAGCATGAAGGGGGAAACTGGGTGTTTGGAAATGCTGCTGTCCCTCATCTGTTCTGTGATCACGTGCAGGAGTCCTGCCTTCACCCACATCTCTACAGTGCTGTGTGTGTCAGCATTATCAGTCTAGAGAAGAAATGCTGAGGCATGATGCTGGATTGGGCCAGGCTTCTGAGCACCAGCCCTAACAAGGGCTATGGGTCACAAAGCTTGGCTCATCCACCATTGCAGTGTGGTCAAGGGAGGTTTCCAGGGCCACTACCTCCTGGCTGATGCTCCTGCTTCCCCACACACACCAGGGTGGCCCCAGCTGCCCTCTGTAAAAGCTGGCCTGAACTGGGGAAGACAGTGGAGATCCCGTTATCATTTCTGTGCAGCCTTGAGGTGCCACACTGTTTCACTCCCATCTCTGTAAGCATGGAGCTGGGTGGTGAGCTCTTCTCTGGCAGTGCTTCCAGCACTGTCTGGCCCTTTGGGCTGGGAGAAGGACTGGCACCTGCATTGCTTGCTCCAGCTCCATCAGCAGGACCTGTTGTCTCTTGCATGCCTCTCAGTTGTCAATCTGTCCATCTCTCTTTTTGCCTCTGTGTGTGTGGCAGGGACCTCTCACATACCCCTCAGCAGGGAACTGAGTGCAAAGCAGCAAAGAACATGACAAGGAAACAACAGAAAGGTAATGTCCCTTTGTTACAGGCTTCCCCCCTTGGAAGGCCTGTTGCCAACACAGCCAAGAGTGGTTTGACCTTCAGCTTGGCCCTGCAGCATTGCACAATCCTCCTGAGACAATAACCAGAGTACAAAAAGGAAGGGGCAATCCCCTGTGCTAAGGATTTGGGGTCCCAGTGACTGAAGGAACCATCAATACCCTTTTTGACAGAGCTAGAAACAAACCAACCACCTCAACCAGTGCCTCAGGTTAAATACAGCCTCACCTTTCCTCTGACCAAGTTTTCCAACTCCCCCTCAATAACTGTTTAGAGGCTGATGCTTTGCCACTGGCCATAAGAAACAACCCACCTCAATCCCAGTACCAAATCCCCAGTGGTTAAAGTTCATGGTTTCCAAACAAATATAATACAGGCAGTGCCTCCCTCTGGCCCATTTAATTCACTGTCCTCTGTCCTCTCAGCATCCTCTGATGCTTTCAACTTATTCCCCAAAGACTCAGGTGGCAATATTAAACCTCACAGTCTGGAGGTGACCACTAAGCTTAGAATAATAGACTGGTTTGTGTTGGAAAGGATTTTAAAGCTCGTCCAGTTCCAACCCCTGCCATGGGTAGGGACACCTTCCACTAGAGCAGCTTGCTCCAAAGCCCTGTCCAACCTGGCCTTGATATCCGTAAAGACACAAACAAAACTCCCTTAAAAAAGCCCTTTAGCTTAACCAGTCAAGAGGTGTACAATGAACTGGTGTGTGCAGATGCTGAGGAGGAGTGCACCAGACCACACATTACTCTCTTGTGGGTTGTTCCAAGTCAACTTCTGAGTGTGCAAACCAATCCTCCTCCATGTGCCTTCCCATTGCCCAGGGCAATACCGTACTCAGATGTTTGCTGTAGCTGGGCTGCTGTATTTTAGTATTTACCAGGGATTAGCTTTCACAGCTACACGTTGCACTTTTGGAACTCTTTATGCATGCTGAAGTTACAAGTGGACCCAGTAACGACCCAGTTACAAGTGGAAAGCTTGAACAGCTTTTTCCCTACTCTTAGATTCTAGTAACAAATCTTTGTGTGGCACCAGCTCTGAGCTGCTCGCCCCAGCATTGCGTTACAGCAAAACCCTGCTCTGCTAACAGAGATGCCACTTGCCTGCAGGAGACAGACCACTGGATTTCTCTGACTCCCTAGACAGTGCTACTGACCAGATGTGTTTCACCCAGACAGTATGTAAGAGACATCCTGCTCCACCAAAAGCCTCCCTTATCCAGAGATGTCTGAATTTACCTGATTCTCAAGACAACTGGTATTTACTGAGCAGCTGGGACCCAAAGAAACGAAGGGTGCTCTATTCAGACAAGACAGCAATAGTTCAATGGGCCACGACAGGCCAGCTCAGGGTTAGCCCTGCCCCCGTGGCTTGCCAGTCTCAGGGACAGGGGCAGGAATCCAGCATTCGGTCCAGATGTTCCTGGCTGCAAGAGCAGAGGCCAAACTCTTCTTACAAGATGGGACACAGAAGGAGTAGATCTCACCTTCTTTAGCTAATCATAAGCTTAAGGGAATTGTCCTACCTGCTAGATACCTAACCAGTACTCAGCAGATAAAGGGGATGGATCCCCATGACATAACTTGTCCAGACTTCCCTGGGAGCTGCTACGGTCTTGGCTCCTTTTGAGCTCTGTGAAGGTTAAGACAAGGCTCAGTCACAGCTCTGACCACTCTCTTCCCCTCCAGCATCTTGGGAAAATCACTCAAGCAGCTTCACTTCTGCCAGTGACAGAGGAATGCTCTTCTTAGAAGTCTTCTTGAAGCTGGTGGAGTTGGCAGCTCTGCCCCAGAAAACTCTGTTTGACATTATCAGGTGAGCTTCCTTAGCTCTGTGAGATAGATGAGGGAGATCCCTCTTTACTGGGAGATTTGTGCCTTATAAAACAAAAGACTGGATCTCCAGAAACGTTTTGTATCTACTTGGACATGCACCTGCATAGCTCAGACACCTGCTCTACAAAGACTGTTGTAAATGCCACCATAAATTGTGTCTATCACACAGTTTAATATCCTTTGCAGTTTAAAATATCCTCACATGAACCAGGTCTTCCCAGATATGCAGGTGCACAGCAGCCAGTGCTGAGTGAGGCCTTGGGCTGTGTTTCATGGGACAACGACGCCCTCTTTTGTCTTCTAGTCACTACCAGAGGAAGCTTAGGGACCAGAAAAACTGGATGGATGATGACGCCTTCAAGTGTGGCAGAAAGATTTGGAAAGAGGTGGTTTACCCTACTACACCTTCCTTTGCAAGCACTGCCCATGACTCAGCTGGGAACAAAAAGAAGGCAGCAGCTCACACAAAGAGCCACAAAGGTATGGCTTGACACTATCACTCCCACTGTCCAAAAGGGAAGTCACTGGATCTGTGAGGGTGACAACTCAAGTGAGGCATTTGCCACAGGTTCTCTGTTCCCTCCTGGCATGTGGCCTTCTCCCAAAGTGCTTCTGGTACTGGGTTCAGCAAGGCTCAGGGTCAGCCCTGCATTAGCAAAACTTTCCCAAGGTAATTTCCAGGAGGATCACACTAAAAGGAGCTGGAGCAGAGCTTGGGAGTTCATTCAGCTCAAAACCCTCCCAGGGTGAGAAGCTGACTCAAACAGTTGTAGTGGGTCCTGCCAGAGGCTCATAGGGGGGAAGGCATCACCTTCTAGTGTCTGTAAACAGCCTATTACAAAGAATGTAGCAGTGGGCGAGTTCTGGGTCACCCCAACACCTAGAGGCACCTCTGTGCCATGGATTGCTGCAGACTAAGCACTCAACATTGTAGCCAAGGGACTGGTGCCTGTGTGGATCTATGCCTGCTAACACTGGGCATGCTGATGGTAGCTGCTTTGACTTGTGGTTCAGAGGGTGAACAGCTCAGGACTCACCGAGTCCTTTCCAGGTGAGAAGAGGAAACCAAGAGGCAGCCAGCTGCAGGCTGCACAGTCACTGATTCCTATTTCCCTTTGCCCCCCCCTCAGGCAGCCCTTACACTCAGGTCCCCATCTTCCTACATCCTAAACAAGATGCAGCAATACTGAGGAAGCCAAGGAAGAGCTTGCAGAAGACAGCCAAGAACGCACAATCCACACTGCTTGACACCCGCTGCTTCTGTGAGAGAAAACGGATGCAGAAGGTGAGAGACAAATGATGCTTCAGGTATGTCATAGCACAGCAGGAGGTGCAGGACAGGGCTGAAAAGCCAGGCTTGCTTTCATTCAGGCAGCTGCTCTCAGGCCTCCTGCTCCCTGCAGGAAGTGGAGATGATCCCTCGATGTCAACACTGAGTGCCTAAATACATCACATTACCTGAGAGCAGACAGCCCAGCTAGGACACAAGTCCTGGTGTTAAACACTGAGGGCAGATGTTACACGTTGCAGTATGGGGAATGCAATCAGAGCAGCACTAAGAGTGACTGGTCACACATGTAACCCATACATTAATTGGCTGGTGAATGCTTTAACTAGATATGGGTATTATTGAGCAATCGTGTCCTAAGTGCAAAGAAAAATGAAACCAGAAATATAATAAAAGCTTACTTGTTTATTACTGTTAACAGTCAGCATGAATTGGTTATAAGCCAGCTTGTGCCCAGGCAGCCAAGAGGCCACCAGCATCCTAGCCTGTATCAGCACCAGTGCAGCAGCAGGAGCAGGGCAGTGGTTGTGCCCATGCACTGGGCACTGGTGAGGCTGCACCTTGAACCGTGTGTTCAGCTCTGGGCCACCCACTACAAGAGAGATGTTGAGGTGCTGGAGCAGGGCCAAAGAAGGGAATGGGGCTGGTGCAGGGCCTGGAGCACAAGTGTGATGGGGAAGGGCTGAGGGACCTGTGGGGTTCAATCTGGAGAAGGCTTAGGGGGGACCTGATCGCTCCAGGAGCGGCTGGGCTCTGCTCCCAAGGAACAAGGGATGGGACAAGAGGAAACGGCCTCAAGCTGCACCAGGGCAGGTTTAGACAGAGCTGAGGAACAATTCCTGCCCCAGAGGGTGCTCAGGCATTGGAACAGGCTGCCCAGGGCAGGGCTGCAGTCACCGGCCCTGCAAGGGTTCACACAGCGTGGAGACGAGACCTCAGTGCCATGGGGCAGTGGTGGCCTTGGCAGTGCTGGGGTAAGGGTTGGACTGGGTTAAATGTGTTTTCCAACGGGGTCGAGTCCATGATTCTGTTACCTGCCAACAGCACCTCGTAACACATCACTGAGTGCCTTTCGCACATACACACGTGGTGCGTGTCCCCACATGGACAGAGCTCATTTCCCCACCATGATCCTCTGCCTGATTCCCACTTCCCTCCTCCCCTCAGAAGGCGCAGGCAGCCAAGCCGCCCCGGCAGAGCCCTGCCCTCTTGCAGCACAGCAGCCTGCTGAAGCTCTGGCACAAGCTCAGCGAGGACCACACGGACAGCCGGCTCTCCCACCGCACCGCATGCACCTGCTCGTCCCTGTGGAACACCGGACGCGACCCGGAGGCAGGCACCGACTTCTGTGGGCTCTGTTACCTCAGAGCCCGGCGGCGGGCGAAGCAGAGAGCAGCCATGGAAGCCAAGCTACGATCGTGGCTGGATGACAGCACCACAGGCCTGTGAATACCGGATAACAACGGGCTGAGCCCCGGTGTGTAAAACGCGAAATAAAAGCAAGTAAAAGCAAGTAAAAGCAAGTAAAAAGCAGCTTTATCGCCTCTGCCCGCCCCCCCGGCACCGCCGCCATCGCTGAGAGACCGGCCGGCCCTTCCCGCCACCGCTCGCCCGCCCCAGTCCTCTCCCGGGTCGGCGCTTCCGGTTCCGGTGACGCTCGTCCCGTCATGGCGGCGCCCAGGGAGCGGCAGCGCTTCGGGAGGCGCTTCCTCACCGACCCCGCCCGCCTCTTCCAGCACAACGCCTGGTGAGGGCGGCCAGCGCCTCGGCCCGCTCCCGAGCCCCGGGCCCTGTGCGGGGACACCCGGGGCGGTGCTGCCCGGGGCGGCGGGGGGGGGGGGGAGGAGCGCGGGAGGCGGGGGAGGCCTCGTTCTCGCCTGCGGTCTGCGGTGAGGCTCCGTGGAGCGGGGGTCTCGGCAGCCGCGGACACCGGAGCAAGCCCTGGGGGTGCGGGGAAGGGAGGCTGGGCCGGGCCGGGCAGGAGGGCCCTGTTCTGTCCGGGGTGATGATCCCCGTGGGGTCCCGAGCCTTGCTCTGTCCCTTCCAAAGCGGTTGGGATGGTTCAGGCTGCCTTGAGGTTGTAGGAGAATGGGTTGGTTTGCAGCAATTGCTTTATTGCTGTAGTTAGTAACAGTTAAACTATCTGCTTTCAGAAATCTCTAAACCCTTCTCCATCTGTTAGTGGCTAAGGTGTAAATTGTACAATGGTCATGGCACCCATCTGCTCCTGGAACAGTGTGAGATGATGCTAGGTGTTAGCTTGGAATGGGAGGCTTCCTTTGGAGAAAGCTGTTTTCAGATATGTTAAACACCCAAATTTCCTGGGAACTGGAGGTGATTTGCATTTTGGACGGACATACCTCCACTTTTGGTCTCTGGCTGCTGTTCCTTGTTAACAATTGGGTATGTTTAATGTGTAATAAAGGGAGTATGCGCATATATCAGCTTGTCATTCATTTTGGACTCCATTCTGCCAAAGATAGGTTGCAAAAGCGTATCCTCAATGCTGACTTCCTGCAGAAACTCCTAGTAATCTAGCTTTTCCACACTTGACACTTAAGTCTGTGTTTTGTGAGTTAATATCAAAACACTAATTTCTCCTGAGGCCAGAATAGTGCTTCTTGGTCTTTGTATTCTACTTTTCATTCACTTGCTTTAATGAAGAAAGGTCAAGTGAATCACTTTAATGACTCCACAGCTGTGCATTCACATTCAAGTTATTAATGCTTGTTAATGCTTTAAAGCTTCCTGCATATTTTTCTCATAATTGGATTTAAGAGAACACTTTGCCTTCCAAATAACCAAGCTGCCTTTTTTTTTTAACTTCAGAAAAGGTACTTTTCTAAGGCAGATGGTCTGCGTTGGTGACCCCCATGAGTGGAAACACACAAGCACCTACCTGTCCATCACCTGCATAGGAACGAGTGCTTTTCACCCTGTGATGGTGGCAGTTCCTCTCTAAGGAGGCCTGTTTGCGCTGAGTGCCCTCCTTTGTTTACAAGAAGGGTTTATTTCCTCTCAACTTGGTGGAGCATCAAATAGGAAAAAAGATTAGGGGACAGATTGGGTGTCTCTTGGGATCTCTCCCAGTTACATTGTTTGTAATGTTATGAGTGCAGTTCATTCAGAACCGTGCTGATAGCTGTTGTACTGCTGCTGAGCTGGAGTTAGAGCCTGCGGATGAGCTCAGAGCTGTTTGGAAGGTTGTCTGGACCTTTCTCTTTTCTCTCTGTCTGCCCTGTGATTCTCAGCTGAGTAGTTAATCTTATGTTTCACAACAGGGATAATGTGGAATGGTCAGAAGAGCAGGAAGCCAGTGCCAGGAGTAAAGTTCAAGAGAACAGCTCACAGCTATTGCCACAAGATAAACAAGGTACTTTTGGGCAGTCTTCTAATGTTGAGTCTTGACTTGTGCATGCAAGAGTGGAACTGTTACCAGAGCTACATATGCATCATCATTTATTCCTCCCTTCCCCCCTCTTTCAAATCATTCAGAATACATTACCTAGTTGTTGATAATGAAAAATGGAGAAGGAGGAATCTTTCTGTTCTTAATTTACCTTTCTGTGATTCCTCTACCTTCTCCAGCAGCTCATCCTACTGGAACAGAAATGGTCTTAGCTTGGAGGAGTCATCTTGGATTGAGCTTCTTTGTTCATGCTGTGTGTGTTTAAATACTTGTTTGTGTTCCTTGTCAACAAGCTTCTTTTGCTGTAGTGCTGTTGCGTCTGCTTATTTTTGCTCTCTAAAGCTTAACTTCTAGCAGTCAGTCTTCTGTTACTTGCATGCTGTGGAGCTATCTGATAAAAGCTCAGTTTTTCTCTTAAGAAGCTCTAATAAAGTAGTGTCCATATCTCTCTACCAAGTGAGTAACAGCATGATAATGGTTAAATGAGAAGTGAGGAATAATTATCTTATCATGATGGAAGTGTTTATCGTCAGAGAGGCAAAAGAAGAGATTCCAGAGGTTTAATTCCCTCAACCTTGGCTTAAAGGATATTTATATGTCCAAAATGCAATGCTTACCTGAATCTGAATCAAGCTAAAGTTGCACAGCTCTATAGTCAAGTAATACAGCTGAAGCTGTTCCGATTAATGGTGAAGCTGTTCTGGTTAATAACGCATCTTTCCTCCACACCTCTTGCATATCATCCAGTCCCTTAAATGAGGGTGAAATGGCTTCCTGTTCTTTGGTATGATAAGAGACTTGTTTGATGATGATCATATTATATCCTGCTGAGCTCTAGGATGGATCTGTTCCTTTTGTTCAAATTAAATTGAGTGTGTCATCTGTAAGGCGATGCTGAACACTACTGGAGCTATTGAGACACTTCCCATATAGCTTCCAGTTGTGTTCACAATAGCAAATTTAATTATACCAAAGAGCAACCCTTCTAATTTCTTGGATTCCCAGAAGTATCCAGCAGTTTCTATTGTGATGCCCATTGTGTTGAGTTCATTTTAAAATCTGGTTAACATTAAAGGATGCTGTCTGTCATGCTTTGAGAATCTATATGCAACTATGAAATCGTGGAGCAATTTGCTGTTAGAGCAGTTTGTCAGGTCTTCATGATGTATTTCCCAGACTGAACAATGGAGGCCAGTCAAATTTTGATGGTTGCTATTCAGTGGGAAGCGTGTGGAGACAATGGGATGGCTGAAACGTAGGGAAGCCAGCCCAGCCAACTGTGCCTGAAGGGTCTGGTACTTTGGGAATCACTAGTGTCCAAGCAGGAGAACAAAGGCAAGCTATTGGTCATTATGGCTGTATTATTCTGTGGACTTCTTGGGGCTGTCAAAGTTTGTTCTGAAGAAGGAGAGAAGCTCTCTGGGGTATGTTGAAGATGTGTCTTCTGGCTGGGAACAAAGAAAGAAGTGGAAGAGTTTCTTGGATTCCTTTTGAGGCTCCATAATTACCCCCCCATACAATTCAGGGGGTCCCTGGTTGTCTTCCTGTCTTTTGTGAACAGTTACTTTTGTTTGCCCTTCTTCTGCAATGTGAAAGGGTGAGTATGGGCTTGGCTTTGGGGGTGTCCTTACAAAGACGAGCAGCCAAGTCAGGAGTCCTTATCAGAAAGGTCTCTGGAGGAATCTGGCTTGCACGCCGATGTCCCCACGAGCTAATACCACAAAAAGGATTTTGAAGCAAGTGTTTTGTGAACTTTTCTGGCATAAGTTGTGCAGGAAAGTCAAACTGAAAAATGAATATGGTCATTTATTTTGCTTTAAATCTGTTTCTTGCATGATCTTGCATTCATATTGTTACTGATCCTTTATTCCAGTGCTTTGAAAATGCTAGGCTATGAGGTAAAGGAGCTTTAAATAAAGCTTCCACACATGCAGGTTGCAGTACAATAGCTCTTCAATAGTACAATATCCACCAGAATTCCACAATAATTTGACACAGGAAGAGCACAATGTCTTGTTCTGTGTTAGACTGTGGCAAAAATGTGGCTAATCCAAAATGGCTGGGCTGGAATTTTGCCCCAGCACCTCAGGTAAGCATGCCATTGCAGTCAGGCTGTCATGGGATTGTTGGGGTCCAGCCTTGCATATCCCTACTAATACATGGAAGAAGTGACAGCTCAGGAAGGAGCGTGCCAGGGGATGAATCAGTAATGCCCCTTCCTCTGCCATTAGCAGTCACTGAGTTCTCCTATGCAGATAGTAAACTGACTTGACCCTGCATACTTACTTGGAGCTGTGGTGAGATCATAACACAAGCTTACTGCTTTAGTCCAGCATCAGACATTAAAATGTCTTTCAGCTTGGGGTTTAAGGGCAAGGCTTCTTAAAAGGAGAAAATTGTGGTAGTTGAGATAGAGATTGTTTTTATTTATAGCTCTTTGTGCTTCAGGGGTAGATCCTACTAAAAATATAAATATGACTGCCTTCTGAGTTTTCTTAAAGACATTTTTATCTGTATTTGGCTGAGGCTATGTAGTTTTCCAGGCATTCTTGGTTCATCCTAGTATCTCCTTTCATGTATCTTCTAAACACTTCATGCTTTTCAAAAAGACAAATAAAACTGCAGTTCAGATACTAATGCTGCTTAATTTCTGTTAACCCTGCTCCTTGTAGATGTTGGAGAGACGTTATCCATTCTCACATAGAGTTGTCATCTCTAACTGGGGCAGAATCATTTGTATTCAGTAATGCACTTGTTGCTGTGCAAAGATGGCTGAGGAGTTGCATGCAGTTGAAACGCACTTGGGATGTAAAGCACAGGGTGCTGGAATTAGCTCTTCTGAGGGACAGATAACTCATCACATCGGTGAGAATTCAGGAAGCCAGTTGGATTTGTAACTTCCCATGGCAAAAATAGTTTCCCTAGAACTGTGCTTCATCTGAAATCTGCCAAGGTGTGTGGAAATAATTCACTGGATGACTTGAATTTCATTAGATCATGGCTTTGTAAATGTTCTTCCAGCTTTCTGTAATATTCATCT